ATCTCCAGGGATGGGCTCACGTGTAACCAGTTTGATCGCTTGTACTTGAGCTCTCACTTTTAGAACGAGCTTTTTCAAAACATCTTTTATGTTTAGCAGGAACCAGGCTCTACATCAGCTTAGCAAGGGGTATATAGTGCCTAGTAAGCATGTTACATATGCTGACTGGCTGGTATTAATACTTAAAGGAGCCTCTAGAGGCTGTGACTATCCTAGGACCTTACCATGTGAGAGACTAGAAGAGACTATACAAGCAAAAGTTAGGTAAATGGTAAGTAGTACTAAATATCAAGAACTATATAACTTATTTCAGGGATAGCGGAAAGAGAAAAAGAAAGTCTAAAAAGCACGAAAGGTCCTCGTACCTCGTCAGGTTTATAAGTCTGAATCACTTAATGCCAAAATCGTTTCTACTACTACCTAAAATCTCTATAACCATTATGATTGATTATATTTACGTACCTAAGACAGTTGCCTAGTAACTGTTAGAGGATGTGTATATCGTAGCTTCAGTTATATTTAGGAGTGAAATCATATAAATTTCAGTTATAGAAGTAACATTAGCGTTAGATGATTTAGACTATAAACCCGACGAGTATACGGAGGTGTAGCGGTTAAGTATTATTACCCCTCCCCCTGTTACGGCATCCTGAATCTAGGTACTATTAAACCAGATAACTAAATCGTAAAACGTGAATCGCAAAAGTCTTATATTTACCACTGCTGCTATTGTGCCTATACCCCCACACCCGCACACTACTACCTCGCTCAAACTCCAAAGCCTTGAAATTTTTACGTGTACACTCGCTACCCTCCCGATCACTACCGCACCCTCGCTGTCGAACACTCTCTGTCGCACCCTCGCTATCGCATCCTTACTGTTGTACAAGGGTTATGCCCTATTATGTTGTTCAGAAGAGAGAGAGAGATGGAGAAGGAGAGGGCAGCGGAGGGGATAGAAGCGGGGAAATATTCCAGTCGTGCGAATCGCTTCTCCCTAGTCCTAATCCTGCCTTCCTAAAGAGCCTAGCAGGTGTTGCGCTCACATTTGTCTACTACTTACCTGTCCTCGCTCTCTCCCCTACCTTCTCTACTCTTTCTTTCCGATACTGTATTACGATAGCGAGTAAACTATACGACAGCTAGAGTAAGATAGAGTATAAGAGGGGTTAGAGGAGGGGTTTGTCNGGGCGGGGGAGGCGGGAGTGTAGGTATAGTACGTGCGCGACACGTAACTCGCGAGGGACCTAATATAAAAATAGGGGTAAGGAAAAGGAGCGTAAGAGGGTTATAGTAGAGAACCTTTACTATATAGAATACTATAAATTTAATAATAGGCTAATAATTCTATTCTTTAGCTCTTTCTTCTATATAAAGTAACTTTTAAAATTCATAACTTATAATTTAGCTATTCAGTTTAATAGTAGATTTAAAATACTCTATCTATTTACTTCTTACTCTAAGTATTTAATTTATTATTACTTACGTAAACTACGTTTAAAATACTTCGTTAAAAGACTTAATATATTCTCAAATATTACTTTATAATACTTTCTTTTTATATTATTATTATTATATTATTATTATAAAGCTATCCCTTAAGCGTAAGTAATTTAGGTATAGAGCTAATAATACTTAACTAATATACCTTCGTAGGTAGTAGATAGAGTTTTCTTATATATAAGAGTTATAGTTATTATTATATATATATTTTTCTTAGAATAAAGTTATTCTAAAAGTATTATAAGTTATTATATAATTAACATAATAATATAAAGAGTTTAGAATAATTATACTACTTAATTTTAATTAGCTTAGGTATACTAATACAATTCTCTTATTTATACTAGAAGTTTAGTATAATAATGTAACGAATACTCAAACTGGCTAACTAAACTTGGCTGGGTGTTCGCTGGTTGGTATGCTATGATAAGAAGAAGACTATCGGGTTGTTCACTTGGAAGTGAACTCGTTACTTGTATCAAAGATGTCAAACTAATATGATAAGATCGATAACTAAGTTGAGCACGAAGCTCCTATCTAATGGCAGACATGCCAGTCTTATATAGAACCTTCTTGCTCGTTGATCATTATGATCACCCTGATCCCACTGATCCAGCTCAGCGTTGCTCAGTTGATCACCAATGATCAATGACGGTCACATGACTTCTATCAGATGAAATCCCTGGATCGCTTAGCTAGCCTAAGCATCCCTATTTGCTATAAGAGTGTGTTGCTGGTGCTTAACCTGTCAGGACGCCGCCTGGTCTTTGCTTATCACATGCCAACACGTGATTCGTGACAAGTACTTAGATATTATAATAATAATAAGATATAAGTAATAGAATCTTACTATTATTAAGAGCCCTTAATATTATACTAAAAACGCTAATATAATCTCTATATAATATAGATAGAGACTTCTATATATAATCTATAATACTACGAGTTTAATAAAAAGAGATACTAGATTAATAAGAGTTTTATAATAATATTAAGAAAGATAAGCTTTTAAAGATAAGAGAGATTAGCTAGCTACTAGAACCTATACTACCTATAGCTTATGAGCTTTTCCTAAAGAAGTAAGGGGATTTATATAGGAGTTTAGGAGGTATAGTACTTTATTTAGATCTATTAGTTTATAAGTCTTTTTATATACTTTAGTAGGTTTTATTTTATAGGTTGTTTTATAAGTTGTTTTAGTAGAGTTTTAGTAGTATTATTCTAGATTAGTATAGTAGGTAGGAAGTAGAAGTAGAAGTAGTAGTAAGAATAGAGTCTTATTTAGTATTATTATTTATTCCCTTATATTATAAGTTTACGTACGAATTTACTATTAAATCAATACGTAAATCAAATAATCGAGAATGCCGGGGCTCTTGCTAGTACCGACACTTCTTTACAGGGATCTATTTAAAAACGTTGACGGAATAGTAAAACCCTATCCTACATACTAGATCCCCTGTATATCCCCTTCCACACTACACCCCAGAACAAGCCATCCTAACCACATATTTCACAACCATACAACCACCTATCTCATTATAAGTAAACAGGAGTTTCCACATCTACTTCCATCCACCTTATATAAACTATCTCCACCTACAATCCTCTCTCTACGTAATACCCCCTACGCTATACCCCCTAAATATACTAGTATACAAAATACCTAAAACATCACATAAAAACAACTATAACCTCCAACTCCAACCAAGCAGAAGGTAAAATACCTATACCCACCTATTCCCAAACACTCCACACCCCTTTCCCCCCCTTTCCCCCCCACAAC